AATGGGATTGTCAATAAAAGATTTTCACCTGATAAATTGCAAAAACTTTATGTACAATACTTTTGTTTTAAAAGGCATAAAACAGCTCTGAGTGTGACGTCATAGTGGTAAAATGACATCTTACTATCACAGGACTGAGACAGAAGCTTTTAGACAGAAGGGGGCGGAGTTACATGTTTGTGCTAGAAGTTCCAGATATTAGCTTGGATGGATTTTTGTGACTGATGATGTAACAGCCTACCCACTATTTTCCACAGTACGTCTCCTTTAAAGGAATAGTTCACCGTTTTTACATACTGACATATGTTCTTACCTTACCTTAGACTAGTTAATACGTACCTGTGTGATCTTAGTCCGTGCGCTCTGTTATGCAAACGGAGCAAAAACGGGAGGACAAATGCAGCCTCCTCTGGTCACTGTGTAGCACCAAAAGGTAGCTCCCGCTAGAAGCTACCAAACTCTTCCAAGTGTTCCCTATTAAATGTATATAGTTACGTGACGTGTTACACTGCAAAGTATAGTAACACAGAAATGTAACTGTCGATTTTCTCAGCGGATAAAACGGGTACTATATTGTGAGGCGTAGTAATCTGAGGTGCGCTACGTCCGCGCACTAACTTCTCTCCGTACTACAAGTCACGCTGCTTCTATTGACGGAAGTGAGCGAGAGAGAAGTCTCCGGAGAGAAGTTAGTGCGCGGACGTAGCGCACCTCAGATTACTACGCCTCACAATATAGTACCCGTTTTATCCGCTGAGAAAATCGACAGTTACATTTCTGTGTTACTATACTTTGCAGTGTAACACGTCACGTAACTATATACATTTAATAGGGAACACTTGGAAGAGTTTGGTAGCTTCTAGCGGGAGCTACCTTTTGGTGCTACACAGTGACCAGAGGAGGCTGCATTTGTCCTCCCGTTTTTGCTCCGTTTGCATAACAGAGCGCACGGACTAAGATCACACAGGTACGTATTAACTAGTCTAAGGTAAGGTAAGAACATATGTCAGTATGTAAAAACGGTGAACTATTCCTTTAAGGGGAACACCTACAGTGAATAAAAGGCCCCTCTAAAATCACATATAAATGAATCACAGATAATAAACTTTTAGGTGTTATGTTTTTACTTCCTGACATTTTCACTGGCCATCATTAAGTTTACTTTGAGATGTGTGTGCACCAGATTGGGCCGGACCCCAGAGATAAGATAAGTAAAATCCTCTTCCTCCAAAATATAGACAACATTAGTGGCGCCAACTGGCCGATGGAGGTCCTCTGTGTGCGCTAATGATGGTACTACATTTGCTAATTGCTTGTTCAAGTATAAGCCCAAACCACAGCGGAGAGCGAGTCCAAGAGCGCTAAAAAACAGGGACGGCTCCTCCGATCGTCAATCTGCCGCTGTCTTTAGTGGCTCATATCGGACCGCATTCAACATGGCATCCGACTGCTGCAATTAGCTGTGCATAAATGCTAATGGCCATGCGTGGTGTTTATGAAGAGAGCTGGAAATGAGAGATTGGTCTAATGATGCCGTCATATGCACAGCGTTGTTAAGAGCGGTCCAGTCGGAATAGAATAGAAGGGGTGAAATAATCAGGTGCTGAAAATAAAAACAATAATAATAATAATAATAATCACGCATTGGTTTTATATGATTTTCAGGACACTCAAAGAAGCTTCAGATTAACAATTTAAATGATTCGGAGAAGTGGGGCTGGTTGGGTATTACTCTGGACTCTGGATATAATTTGAAATAAATTTGTTTTGTCCTTGTATGTGTATGTTTGTGAACTGTTTGCTGTGCTTGAATCAATACAAAATGGACAAGGAGGTGAATTGTTAATAATATCATGAGGAGGAATCCCACCCAAACACAGGGAGAAAATGCAAATTCCACACAGAATGGTCCGGGCCGATACAGGATAGAACCTTCTGTTGTTTGCAGCGTCTAATGGCAACACAAGGACATTCCAAGACGGATGCAAGTTTGTTAATCATTTCTCTACGGCCCCTTTGTACCTGAGCAAAGCAACAAAGTATGTTATTTACCCACAATATGAGAAAAAAAGAAGACGCTTTTTGTACGAATTCGTCTGCTTCTAAAACGAGTGGATAAAGCATTTGATAAACGTTATTTTGTGTATTTATTTTTTGTTATGACCTGAAATGATCAGCAGACACATCGACACGCATTAGCACTACTCTAATACTCCGGGGCGACTGTAAAGCTTTTGGAATGGTGTTGTTCAGAAAGCATCATACTCAATTCTTTGCCCCCTGGAAACCTATTCACAAATGTCTAAATGAAGCGTGTTTTTTTCTTTTCGGGCTTTTACAGCTCTTAAAAAGCATGTTTGAACAAAGCCAGAGCCAGAGCTAGGCCTTTAGTATCAGCCTATTACAATATATATCTGCTTTTCTCGACACAAAGTAAGGCAAGTTTATTTATATTCTATTGTTCTCCCCGTGTCTGCGTAGGTTTCCTCCGGGTACTCCGGTTTCCCCTACCACTAATAATATGTACAATAGGTCTGGCATGCGCCTCCTGTTCGGCGATCCCGCTCCCATCTCTGTGTGGAGTGAGAGACAAGTGCCCAAAAAATAACAATTGTAAACCGCTTTGTGACTCTGGTCTGTGAAAGGCGGTATATAAATAAAGCTTACTTACTTACTTACTTACTATATACAGCACATTTCATACACAAGGCAACTGAAAGTGCAGAACAAAACAATATAGAGACAGTCACACAAGGCATTAAAATATTAAATAATCACAGTACATTACTGACACACACATACACACACTCTCTCTCACACCCACACACACACACACACACACACACACACACACATGAGAGGATGACCAGAGAGGTTTGAAGTACCACTACACTACAATTTCCTAGTTTGTGACTTCTTGTTACTCACATGGCAATAAAAGGATTCTGATTCTTCTTGTAAAATGTGTCTTAGTAATTTCATCAAACATATCCACTTTTAACACACTTGCACTCAAAGACATCCACTTGAAATCTGCAAAGTTACTGCACACAACGCTATCTCGTACAAACAGCCAAATAGATCTTGATCTGACAGCGGTGAGGCGTTATCGGGATGGCACACCTCAAACTCACATGTATGAAAATGAACGTTTCATCCGCCGCCTATAACCTCACAACTCTGCAGCGCTAAAGTCCAGGGCGGCTTAACTTGAAATTCACAGCTACAGTTCACAGAAAACATGAAAAGATGTAGCTCAAAATAAAAAAAACACAATTTCCAACTTTGAAACTGGCCTTCACATGCACTCACTTTTGTATATAGTGCAGAGGGACCAGCAGCATAATTCCCTTTATTGGTGTTAGCATGAGCCTTTGGGGGCTTTTATGGAGACGGTCACATGCTATATCCCCTGTTGGTTCCATCAGATCCAGTACAATGTGTGGGGAGCAGGTGTTGCACAGGTGCCGTGACTTTATGAATCAGGTGTTATAGAATTAGAGGCCTCATTCTTCTCAACATCAATGTCAAACGTATGGGAACATCTGTAACCGATTATAATGACTCTAGTTAATTCAGCAGAGATATGATAGAGGGGAAACCAAGATGTCACATGAATTAAGTTATCTAAATTCCATTCTGCACCTCTCCCAGGGCACTAGTCATATCAGAAAAAAGTGTAAGGATAAAGGTGAGGCCTTGACACAAAGTTATATGCATTATATACGCTATATGTAAAATCACGTAAAAAATATATAACAAAATATACCCAGCAGAGAACCTAATGGCGTACTGTTAAGGCATTTGTGCGTATGCTTAAAAATGTGTTGCAAAAGTTTTGAAGACATTTGCAATATTGAGTGTTACTATAACGTCGGTTTTATAATAATATTATCCTGTCATCTTGTCATCTAATGAAGCGCTCAGTGTAATCAAACAGCTTGCATTGACACAAGTAAATGAGCAGCACAGAACTCCCTTGATTATACAACATGAAAGCAGATGCTACAAGACCCGACATCAGGCAAAAATCACACTCAAATTCAGAGCTAAAAACCTGGGTTGTTCTAAACAGTCCGCTGGTTCCAAAGTCCCCACATCCCTCGGGCAAACAGGATTACAGCCACCAAAACACAACGCAGACCAAATGACCGTGAATGAAGCCCCAAACGCATTTTTTTTTTTTCTGTCATAAACACCTCACTAATAATAGGGTCCACTCTATGGTTTTACAGCAGAATTAAGGAAGATATTCGACTCTCTTAACTCAAACTACTTTCACATATATTGCATTTAGTAAAGCAAAATCAGGATCTTAGTGATTGTAAACATGTGTGTTCGTGTATGTGTCCTACGGTGTATACAGCTCATTTTACAAGAGTCCTAAAATGTTTCCTTGCAACAGGACATATCAGAAGAGAATATCTGCAGTGAAGAATACTAAGATAAAAGTAAAGCGCAGAATGAAAAGGTTCATTCTTGTGGTTACTGTGATCCAACTGCAGAGTTTAGCATGCTTACTGTATGTGAAAGAGGGATATCCTGAAAAGTTACTAAAAGTTACCAAACACTGAGCTCCCTTTCAATGATAAATAAAATGTGTACCATTTTGCCTGTTCATTGCAACCAAATACACTTTCACAAAATAATCACATTATATTTTTTTGGTCTGCATTATGAAGTAAATTACCCAATAAAAATATAGCAACCTGTATAGTATATGATGTAATGGCATGTTGGGGGAAAAGGCTTATATCCAGGACAAAACTTCCAGTCTTGATCCCCTCTTTTTGTGTCTGACTTGATGTATAGCGCCATATATAAATCCTAAAGTGGAATCCTCTTCCGGAAAAATAGTCTATTACTTTCTGCACAGACACACAACGCAAACAAACCCAGCACACAACATTTGTCATGCTTTGAGCCACTATAAGAGTTTCCCCAATGAAGAATAAACCAGAGGATCAGAGCGAACATTCACGCACGGCCTATACGCGCACTCACCTGTACCAGTCCATGCCTTTCTCATAGTTCCTGTCAAAGAAGTGCGGCTCGTTCCCCACCGCCCTGACATCCGGGTGGACCCTTAAAGCCTCCAGCAGCGCCCGGGTCCCCCCCTTCTTCACCCCGATGATGATGGCTTGCGGCAGCTTCTTCTCTCCGTAATCCGAAGTGCAATTCACTCCGAGTTCGCTGTCCGTGGTGCTGAACTCCTGGCGCGCCTTCTCTTCCACTTTCTCGGGCTGGAGCTGCTGCTGTTGATAAAGCGCAGATTTGGTGGGAGACGCCTGAGTCCTGATCCACTCCACGGTCCTCTGAGCATCATCGTGCGCGGTGGGGACGGTGCTGAACTTGGTTGTGGCGTCTGTATATTCCGTCAGACCTTCAGACACGGAGTAAAGTTTATCCCTAAGCGTGACAAAAGTTGGCTCGTCAGTCACCAGCCTCCCTTGATACGCGTAGTTCTCTTGCAGGGGGAATTGCAGCGAGTTGTAGCAGCTCATCAAGCTATAGAACAGGTATGTGACAGAGAGGGACAGGGTGAACATGAACAAGATTTTCCGGGGCACTTTAGAGGTAAAGAGCTGTGTGCTGGACCAAAGTGCCATCTCGGATAGCAGGGATCCTCTCAAAAAAGTGGCCAGACATGTTTCCACTTCGTGTCTTGCATGGACACAAGAACATTGACGGCCAGGTTTGGGTCACATTCGCTTATAGTCTGACGTGTTGGCGAGCGCAGGAGAAACAGAGTGGCCAGGTCCGAAACAGTGCACCATCTTTATAAAGGGATCGTTAAGATTCCGCCAGAATATCGCGTCTCCCCCCCCGTACGTGAGTATACGTCCACTATCGATTTCTTATTCCAAAGACGGCAGACAATGTCACAATTTATGGAAGTTGTTTTGCGTGTTTGAAATAGCTTCGCTGGGTTCCTGGAATGCGTTCAAGCTGGATAAAAGCCTGGCATTGTGCACGGTTGGAAAGAGAAAAAATATTCAAAGTCCCGTTGTCCAAAGTCCATGCGTTTTAGTGAGTGGATCCATGCGCGTAAAATCAAGGTAAAATCCCGTTCTTCTGCAGAGCCTGGTTTGACTTACTTCAAACTGTGGCTTGTAAAATGGAGTGAGGACGTTGCGTTTTGTGGATCGCTGCTCTTCAGAGTCCCCGCGTCTTTCAGAGTGGTTCTACGCCGAGAGCTCATCTCAACTGAGGCGCCACACAGCACAACTAGAGTATGCGCGCACGAACACCCACTTCTCTCCCTCCTATCCAAGCGCAAGTGGGCTATAAACGTCAGATTTCCTCATAGGGCAATGGAGGAGCGAACGTCAGGGCGTCCGCACTCCCCGTAGCTTCACACGACGAGCTGAATTGGACTGTTTTTGGGGATATCAGAGTCGGACTGTGACGCGGTGTAAAGTTCAAATATGAACTCCAGCTCCCGGATCATTTACCGTGGGATTTTAACAGAAAGCTCGTGTCTGCACCCTGCTGGTTTTCTGCGGAGCGTATCTCGATATATTCTCCAAGCTGGATATTGGGATTGGATATGTGTGCATATGTATTAATGTGTTCTGGTCATGGGACAAAAAAGGTGGTGCTGTAGGAGGGGAAAACCAAAAAAAACTTGTGAGGAAAATGTATTGTTGGTATGAGTCAATGATGGAGAGTTGTCATTGTGTTGCTTTTGTGATTTCGATGCACCCATTCTTGTTTCAAAATAATTTAGAATTTCCTTTTGAGCCGTTACTGCTCTTTCCATTAACTTTGAGCCTTTTACCAGTTTGAAATTGTGTTGGTTTTGCCATGTTTAGCCCATTACAACATGTAATTGACAACTATTGTAATTGGTCTGATTGAAAAAAAATCTGATAGGGGAATTATGTCCAAAACGTCTTGCTTTCGAAATGCTTATTATATTTCATCTGCATCTGCACCTCAGAAAGAATTGCTTGGTGTGCGTACTTCCTTCTCAAAAGCCAATTAACATTTACTTCATTCAGGCATGAGTTTTATTTCCCAATAGTTCTTTCCTTGAATATTTCACATAAAGTGATTTTTTTATTTTATTTTCGAAATTCAAAATATCATCTCCCATAAGTGTGCGAATAAACTATATTTAATCTGCTGTTCAGTAGACCTGCGCTTGCCAGAATATGCAACTTTAAAATGGCCAAGCACTGAAGTGTCTGTGTGTATTAGAGAGCCCCATTTATCATCTACCACCACACAGCAAGAGCACCACTGGAAAAATCAGCAGTCCTTTTCCTCCTCAATGCTGTTAAGCTCATTATACGTCCACTTTTTATAGTTTGGTCCAAGACATAATGAAACACAAAAAAAGAAATACTAAAACACAAAAAAAAAGTTATTACCCCAAAGATTTGCAGCCCAGAAGTAGGTAATAATTGAGCAATTCACAGCAAAACATGGTGCGGACTTTGTTTTGTTAACTCATCTTGTGTCTTTCCTTTTTGAGTTCGCAAAGAGGACTGTGGGCTGTGAGCTTCCTGTTCTGGAGGTTCTTTATAAATCCAGACTTTTAAACAAAGCTCTTAGGATTGTCTTAATGACTCTTCTGGCCACCCTGGGAAAGCCATGTTCCAGCTTCTTCCCTCTGGCAGAAGATATCGTTCGCTGAGATGCAGGAAATCTCGATATGCTAACAGCTTCTTCCCACATGCTGTTATAAGTTTGAACAGAGCACTTTAATGTTCTTGCACTTGTACTGAAACTGTTTTAGTCGATCGTTTTCACAGTGACAATTGTTTACTGTTTTATCTGTTTTATTTCTGTACTTTTAATGATGTGTTATGTCTGTATTTGTCTGTGCACATTGGTGACTATTTGGTAATGTATTCCAATGTGATTTTTCTACTGCAAATGGCAAATAAACTGAATTTGAATCTGATGTTGTTTTTATTTCTGGATATTTGTGTTTTATCCTAGATTTAGCCCGATTTCAATAAATTACACCTTACTTTCAAGCCTACATTTTGAGTTCCTTTTTTTCCCTTTCACCTCATTACAATATCATAACTCACGCTGATTTGAGGTCTGACTTTTGCTATTGAGTGTTGACTTTTGCCTTTACTCTATTGTAAAACAGTCATCATTTGATCTTTCTGCATGTGCGACCCGGTCTGCCTCTCTGTAACCTCAAAGACAATATTCAAACCAGCTACACATGAATTACATTGAGAGAATAATGCTACAATGGAATTTCATAATTACCACCGCAGAGCTCAGAACGGCACCCTTGGATAGCGCTGAGACAGTTTTAATTTCAGGTCCAAATGTAATATGGATAATTCATATCTAAATACCATCTAGACCTGAGGTGAATCTTAATACAAGCAGCAAAGAATGAGGGGCCAATTCTATTTGAGTGTCACTCAGATAAACCTGCTTAACACTGATAATAGTAAGTTTATAGGGAGATTGGAACAACGAAGTAACCTTTTGTTATACAAGAACCTTAAAACTGCACTTAATCTCAAGGATAAGGAATAAATGGCGTCTTCAATCCCACCAGACTTGACTTAAATCCCCCAAAAGCTGCATTGAGGAAAATGAGAAAATGCTTTTTTGTTGGGGTGTTGTCCTGTTGCTTGCAAATGCACCTAGACACAATCTGGATCATCTCTTTCCATCGGGACTCGCGCAATATCTGAGCGATTTATCAACAGTTATAGCAAAAAGCAGGATAAATCTGTTCAATATGATTTCCACAATTGATCCGCTGCTGGCTTTGAATGAAATAACACCAATTTTCGCCGCCATCTTGCACAAGGTGACTTCTTGACAGGTAGAGATAGGGAGATTTTTTGAGTGCACAGGGCCAGTTCGGTGTTGGAGAGTGCTTGGATTCTCTGAGCAGCAATTTGCAAGTCCAACAATTTGAACAAGGCTTTGGGCTGCCCACGCGCACTTGACTGAACGCCTGCTGAATCTATTGTGCACCAAACACTTGTAGTTGTTCAGCCCTGTCCGCACATGCTAACCCTGACCACAGACAGTCGCCTTCACCGGCAGCGTGAGGTGAAGCACTAAAGTGAAGCAGGACTGAGTCACGGTCGGAGCAAAGGCGTGTCTCCAACAGCCTGGTAAAAGAAAAAAAAAAAAAACACACTCTCTCCAAGGAGCACGAAATACAGTCTTGTCCAATGTGATTTTGAGCCTTGGAAAAATATATGTCCCCCCCTATGCTTTTGATCCACCTGATGATTCATGATTTTGTCCAAAGGCAGAAATGTGATGGTAGATGATGAGGGGAATAGTGGAAAAATAGTTCTTGTTGTTGTGGTCAAAATGCAGGCATAATGTGTCTGACTGCATAGGTGCAAATTGGTCTCTGTATATTTTTGCATTTGTTCACAAAGGAAATAGGTTAAATCTAGTCAATGAGCCATATATTAAGATAAATTCAATACATTAGGGTTGCTTTCATGGCTATTTGCACTTCAAAACGTTGTAAAATTTTTCTTTTAACATTTGTGGACATCTGCTCTTATGGACCTACGAATCTATGTGTGTTGATTCTCTAATCTGTGTTGGCATTTCGACAAGTAGTCTGAGATAACTACTGTTGTGCTTTTAGAACATACAAAAATAAATTGAAATTGTATTGAATATTTTTTAAATGGGAAGAAGTCCAGCTAATGTTACAGACAGCACGACACTAATATTTGACTTTAAGCGTAGGTCAGTTATCACCTGAAGTTATTCATGTTTCTCTCGTCTTCTTTAGATTATAGTTTGTAGTAGAAGTATTGAATGCTTTCTGAAAACATGTTGAATTCATCTATTGAATATCCTCTGAGTTGTGAGCGAGGACAGGTGGTACGATCACTCAAAGCTAGAGCTGCAACTAACGATTATTTTGTAATCGATTAATCTATCGATTATTTTTACGATTAATCGATTAATCGCTTAGCTGTGAATTGTGTAGAAAAAAAATATTTTTTCATCACAAAAAGCTAAAGTGGCAACACTCGAGGACGTATTGATGGCGTAAACTTAAAGTAAATGTTTGTAACAGGCTCTTTGTGCTAATTCTGCTATCTGATTGGATGAGACAGACAGATTATTATAGAAATTATAAAAACAAAGTCGGTTTTAATCAAAAATACTACATTTTCATGTCATTTTTGCTCTGTTTGAGTCCGTGTGAACCAGAAAACGATTAATCGATTACTAAAATAGTTGTCGACTATTTCAATAATCGATTAGTCGTCGATTAATCGATTAGTTGTTTCAGCCCTACTCAAAGCCCTTACATGAATGCACACACAGCTAATGGTGAAGGAGAGCCGTTAGTATGTCCTTTCATCTAGATTAGACGACTTAACAAGGACTAGAAAAGAGAAAACTAATTCCACTTGGACTGCACACCCAAGGCACTCGCAGTTTTCCTTGGGCGATGAAGATGTAGAGACATTAATTCATTTAACAAAGGCTTTTTTAGAGGATGCCAGATCACCTACAAATGCATATTATTATACTCCACTTATCATTCCAAAAAATATGTTTCTCACCTTCAGATCTCCAGCAGTAAATCTTTTCACTTTGGTCCTAACGGCAGGATGCTTCCAGCCCTGCAGGCTTT